TATCTATCTATCTATCTATCTATCTATCTATCTATCTATCTATCTATTTATCTATCTATCTATCTATCTACCTCTAAATTTATCTAAGAGCCATGGTGGCACAGTGGTTAGAATGCAGTATTGCAGACTAATTCAGCTCATTGGCAACTACCGCAGTTCAATTCTCAGCGGCTCAAGCTTGACTCAAGCCTTCCGAGGTTGGTAAAATGAAGACCCAGATTGTGCGCACTCTGACTGGATGGTGGGGAATGGAAGGATGTATACTCCTTGCAGACAGCCGGTCATTTGCATTCTTTTAGAGAATTGTTGAGGCCACTTGGAGGTTTACTTGCGTCTTCGGAGTCATCTGAGTAGCGCGAATGAGTGTGGAGTCTTCTGGGAACTTGTGAAAGAACCAACACAGTCTGCAACACGGTCCTTTCAACAGTTCCAAGAAGGCTCCACACCAGGGGTTTCAAACTCACATTGTCATGGCGGTGTCATGTGATGTATCGGGACTTTCCACTTTCGCTAAACTGGGCATGGGCGTGGCCAGCACATGACGCATCCGGCCTATGGACCGGGAGTTTGACAGCCCGGCTCTACACTCATTTGCGCTATTCAATGACCCTCCAAATGGCCTCAATGACCCTCTAAAAAGGATGCAAAGGACCAGCTGTCTGCAAGGAATATAAATCCTTCCATTTCCCACCATCCGGTCAGAGCTGAAGGAGCTTCTGGGATGAGAAGCAAAACATCTTCAAAGAAAAAAAATAAATAGTCCAGTTGCCTCTTGAGAAAAAAAAAGCACCTTTGAGACAATCATGACCTGGAGGACTGAGGAGCTCCATAGACACTGATGCCAAGGATCTGGATTTTTAAAATTAAACTTACTTGCTGGTTTTCTTTCCCTCTGGAGCACGTCCACGAAGAAGACCTTCTCTTGAAGATCTTCCCCACAAGAGCCCACCAACCCCTCGTCTTACAATTGATAAGAGTTGGGTATCTATGGAGCTTCTCCATCCTCCAGGTCAGGGTTGTCCCAAAGGTGGTTTTTTTAATCAAGAGGCAACTGGACTTTCTGGTTTTTCTTTGAAGAGGTTTCGCTTCTCATCCCAGAAGCTTCTTCAGCTCTGATTGGATGGTGGTGTGGAATGGAAGGATTGATACTCCTTGCAAACAGCTGGTCCTTTGCATCCTTTGAGAGGGTCGTTGAGGCCACTTCCAACAGTTCCAAGAAGGCTCCACACATCCATTTGCACCACTCAGGTGACCCCGAGGACACAGATAAACCTCCAAGTGGCCTCAATGACCCTCTAAAAGGTTGCAAATGACTAGCTGTCTGCAAGGAAGGATTCCCCACCATCTCCAAGTTTCTTGGAGAAACGTCTTCAAAGAAAGACATGGTAAGGGTTGGGTTTGGGATTCCTGCCTCCTTCATTGGGGGAAGCTGAGGTCCACAGCACGTCCCATCGGGATGGTGGGGAATCCAGGTTTCCACCATCGGTTGCCCTCCCCTTGAGAGCCCCGCGAAAGACGTCCATTCACACACATCCTCCCGCCATTTTTCTTTCTCCAGGAAGAACCCATCACTTTTTGCGAAGAAACCTTCGTTTCCCACCGGTCTGCCACCATGAGACAATTCCTGCAGAATGCCATCCAGCTACAGCTTTTCAAGCAGGTACTTTGTGTGTGTGTCTGTCTCTCTGTGTCTCTGTGTGTGTGTGTGTGTGTGTGTTAAGAACAATCGCAGTGTTTCGCAACGTGCTGTGAAATACGGCTGGCCACTTTGTTCCCTAATTAGTGTAATTTATGGGTCAGAATGAGGTGTTTTCTGTCGGTTTTTCCACCCCCCTCCCCTCCACCAGGCAAGCTCATGAGCTATTTTTAAGAGCATTGTGTGTTCTTCCTATTCTGCCTTCCATAATAGATGGTGTTGGTGTATTTTTCCGTCTCTGTTTCTTTCTCTCTCCCTCTCGGGGGGTCTTCGCGGGCAAAGGACTTAGATAATGGGGTCCCCATCCCTTGGACCTGCTGAGAACAACCCAAAGGTGCTTTTTTTCAAAAGGCAAGCAGACTTTGTTCTTCTTTGAAGGCCTTTCGCTTCTCACCCGAGAAGCTTCTTCACTTCTCCAGAAGGCAACTGGACTTTTTTTTTCTTCCTTGAAGAGGTTTCGCTTCTCACCCGAGGAAGCTTCTTCAGTTCTGACTCAAGAAGCTTCTTAGATAAGAACTGAAGAAGCTTCTCAGATGAGAAGCGAAACCTCTTCAAGGAAAAACAGTCCAGTTGTGTTTTGAAGAAGGGCTGGAGGACTGAGAACCTCCATAGGCACCTGGCTCAGAAGAAGATACTAGATCCTCCTAGATGCCCTCCTGGAAGAACAGAGCAAGGGTCAGAAGATAATGCTTTTTTCTTTCTTTCTCCTGCAGTTCATCGATGGTCGTCTTGATCTTCTCAACTCTGGGGAAGGCTTCAGTGACGTCTTCGAGGAAGAGATCAACCTGGGCGAATATGACGGTGAGGAGAAGACCAGCCTTGGTTGGACATACAAATACGACAGGCCACTTCTTTTTGTTACAGCTAGTCCTTGACTTACAACCGTTCACTTAGCGACTGATTGAAGTGACGGTGGCATTGAAAAGAGTGAGTTATGACCATTTCCCACACTTACGACCGTCACAGCATGCCCATGGTCACGGGATCAAAATTCAGACGTTTGGCAACTGACTTATATTGATGACAGTTGTAGAGTCCCAGGGGTGGGGTCAAAGGACTCATTTTTGCGACGTTCTGACTAGCAAAATCAGAAGCCAGATTCACTTAACAACCGGGTTACTAACTGACCCGCTGCAGTGATTCACGTAACAACAGAGGCAAGAAAGGTCACAAAGCAAGGCAAAATTCACTTAATAAATGTCTCACTTAACAACGGACATTTTGGGCTCCATTGCGGTCGTAAGTTGAGGACTACCTGTTGTGTTACTGATTCCACTGAAAACAGAATTGGGGTGATTTCAATTCTTAAAGCAACATTGCTGAGACCAAGATAACAACAGGTCAACAAGCAGGTGGAGATGCTTTCGGGTTTATTTTCTCGCCACCCGAGGTCCCCACCGTGAATTCTCCCTCTAGGCCAGGGGGGGTCTTCAAACTTGACAGCTTTAGGACAGGTGGACTTCAACAATTTCTCCTCCAGTCCTGTTAGCTCAGGAATTCTGGGAGCTGACGTCCCCCAAGTCTTAAGCTTGCCAAGTTTGAAGACCCTCGATCAAGACCAACAACGGGGAGAGGAAACAACAGTTGTGTGGATGGATGAGGAGCAAAAATGGCCCAGAGGGGACACAAGTAGCTCGTTATAACTTGAAAAAAAATATAGCTCTTTTGCTTGATTTAGAGAAGCATCTTCAGAAGAACTCGATACCTCTCTCCCAAATTGTTTTAAGGTTGTTGGTTGGGGTAACAGGTGGCAGAACTCCATGTTGTTCGTAAACGCTGGGAGGCAGAAGGACCCAAACTAGTTCTCACTTCACTTCACATATAAAGAACGCTTGCCGGAATTGGGTATGTCTAGCCTGATGAAAAAAAGGACTAGGGGAGACATGAGAGCAGTGTTCTGATATTTCAAGGGCTGCCCCAAAGAAGAGGGAGTCAAGCTATTCTCCAAAGCACCTGAGAAGGCAGGACAAGAAGCAATAGATGGAAACTAATCAAGGGGAGAAGCAACCTAGAACTAAGGAGAAATTCCTGACAGTGAGAACAATGAATTAGTGGAAGAGCTTGACTACAAAAGTTATGGGTGCTCCATCACTGGAGGTTTTCCATAAGCTGTTGGACAGCCATTAATCTGGAATGGTGTAGGGCTTCCTGCTTGAGCAAGGGGTTGGACTAGAAGACCTCCAATAAGTCCCTTCCAACTATTCTATTCTAATAATATAACTTCTCCTTTTGTGGCAGGCAGTGACAAGCTGTACCACCAATGGCTGTCCACTGTCCGGGTGAGTATCCCTTGAAGGCATCAGCAGATGCTTCCTCCATCTCTTCCTTGTCCTTCCTCCTCCATCCATCCAAGAGCTGCTACATCCTAGGCCAAGAGAGAGTTGGCGAGCCTCAATTCTGCCCCCAAACTGGACTTCTTCCCAAGATTCGAGGCAGTATTTCTGCTTCGCAGGCTGAATATGCAGCTGTGTTGTGCCCCCTTGATAAAGAATGGCTGAATATCGGACCCATCTTAGAATCCTGGAGGGTTGGCATTTTAAATCTTCTCTTTAGACATTCAGGGGAAATAATAAATAAGCAGAATCCAAGTTATTTTCTTCCGGAGCCCCCCAAAGTTTGTTTCAAACCAGGTTTTTGAACAGTGAAGAAGGATGGCTGGGCACCCTTGATTATTAAGGAGGCGAAAAGGCATAAAATAAACTCTGGAAATGTTGGTTGGCTTCTCTTGATATTCTGAAAGAGTGACAAGGTTTCAAGGATTGCACCGTAAGATAGGAAGGCTTTGATGTGAAAGATGGTAGGAAGGAAGGAAAGGAGGGAGGGAGGGAGGAAGAAAGAAAGGAAAGAGAGAGAGAGAGAGAGAGAGAGAGGGAGAGAGAGAAGAAAAAAGAGAAAAAACGAGGAGAAAGAGAAGGGAGAAAGAAAGAAAAAGAAAGAAAGAAAGAGAAAAAGAGAAAGAAAGGAAAACCAGAATCTCAACCATGGAGCCACCTATAACAAGATGTTTTGGAACTGTGTTTCCAAAACATCTTATTATAAGGGAGGGAGGGAGGGAGGGAGGGAGGGAGGGAAGGAAGGAAGGAAGGAAGGAAGGAAGGAAGGAAGGAAGGAAGGAAGGAAAGGAAGGAAGGAAGGAAGGAAGGAAGGAAGGAAGGGGAAGGGAAGGGAAGGGAAGGGAAGGGAAGGGAAGGGAAGGGAAGGGAAGGAAGGAAGGAAGGAGAAAAAAGAAAGAGAAAGTCAGTATCTCAAACATAGAGCCATTTATATTAAGATGTTTTGCAGTTTCGTTTCTCTGATAATTGTTGATGAGTTAGCAAATATATAACACAATTCTTGCTTTAAAAGAATAATCCCCCCAGTCCAGCATTGTGTCTGCCTCTGTGTGTGTGTGTGTGTGTAATGGAGCGTCCCTTCCTTTATGCATGCTAAATTTTATTTATCAAAATAATGCCATACCCAGCTCAAGACAGCTTGTCCTACCAAATAAAGAAAGCACAAACGGGACTGCTTAAGTATTCTGTCTGAGAGGTCAAAATCTTGGAGGTGCCATCAGGATGCAAAGTTCAGCCTGGGTGAAATTTACTTGGCATACTTTCTTCCCTCATTATAAACCTGAGAGAGAGAGAGAGAAAGAGAGACAGAGAGAGAGAGAGAGAAAGAAAGAGAAACAGAGAGAGAGAGAGACAGAGAAACACACAGAGAGAGAGAGAGAGACAGAGAGAAACAGAGAGAGAAACAGAGAGAGAGAGAAAGAGAGAAAGAAAGAAAGAAAGAAAGAAAGAAAGAGAAACAGAGAGAAACAGAGAGAGAGAGAGAGAGAAACAGAAAGAAAGAGAGAGAGAAAGAGAAAGAAAGAGAAACAAATAGAGACAGAGAGAGAGGAAGAAAGAGAAAGAGAAAGAGAGAGAAACAGGGAGGAAGACAAACAGAATGAGAGAGAAAGAGAGAGAAAGAAAGAGAGAAATACACAGAGAGAAACAGTGAGAGAGAGAGAGAGAAAGGAAAGAAAGAAAGAAAAGAAAGAAAGAAAGAAAGAAAGAAAGAAAGAAGAAAGAAAAAGAAAGAAAGAAAGAAAGAAACAGTCAGAGAGGGAGAATGAGAGAGAGAAAGAAAGAGAAACAGAGAGAGAGAAAGAGAAATAAAGAGAAACAGAAATAGAGACAGAGAGAGAGGAAGAAAGAGAAAGAGAGAGAAACAGAGGGAGGAAGACAAACAGAATGAAAGAGAAAGAGAGAGAAACAGAGAAAGAGAGAGAGAGAGCAAAAAAGAGAGAAACCAAGAAAAAGAGAGAGAGAAAGAGAGAGGTGGAAGAGCTGTCTTTGGTTTGCACAAGAGGCTGCACTTTGTTGTTAAAAAAAACTGACAATGATTCTGCAGGCTAATCCAAAGATTGTGAGCTTTGAAAAGAAAGCATTTATTTCAGGTTTATTCTGATGATCGCATACAATATCGGGCCTGTGCCTGCATGACAACATCCAACGTTTAATTTGAAAAGGAAGGAAAAAAACCTTCTGCCTTTCAGGAAATCAAAAATATTTGAATGAGACCAGAGCTAGGGGCCATTGTAACAGGCCTGCAGGAGTTAAGGAGATTTCCTTTGATGCAACGTTCATACTTCTGTCTATTTGTGTGTTAAAAGTCGCAACCTCAGCTCAATTTCGGTATCATCCTGATGGCTTTTTCTCCCCCTCCCTCTATATCTACGTAGAAAGGAAGTGGGGCCATTTTAAATACTGTGAAGACCAAGGCAAATCCTGCTATGAAGACTGTCTACAAATTTGTAAGTGTCCAGAGCTGGCCTTTGGGGTGAAGTGGTGTCTCTGAGCATACACAGAATACAAACTTTGTCATCTCTGAAAAACCATCAGCTGTCACCACTGGGTGGGCAGTTTGTCAGCGTGGCCCAAAGAACGGGGGGGGGGGGGGTGGATACAGAGAAATGGTGTCCCAAAGGTGCTTTTTCCCCAAGAGGCAACTGGACTTTCTGGTTTTTGTTTGAAGATGTTTCGCTTCTCATCCAAGAAGCTTCTCCAGCTCTGACTGGATAGTGGGGAATGGAAGGATTTATACTCCTTGCAGACAGCTGGTCGTTTGCATCCTTTTAGAGGGTCGTTGAGGCCACTTGGAGGTTTGTCTGTGTCCTCAGGGTCACCTGAGTGGTGCAAATGGATGTGTTGGAACTGTTGAAAGGAGCTGTGTTGTAGATTGGAGATAGATGCTGTCGTAGCCCTCCCCCCAGGGGTGGGATTCAATTTTTTTAACAACCGCTTCTGTGGGCGTGGCTTAGTTGGTGGGCGTGGCTTGGTGGTCATGTGACTGGCTGGGCGTGGCCAACTCCATATCACTCACATCGAGGCACGCATCTCCTCGCCTGGCCTCTCATGACTGTGAGGATGCTGCAACAGTCGTAAGTGTGAAAAATGGTCATAAGTCACTTTTGTCAGTGCCATGCTAACTTTGAATGGTCACTCCACACAAGTAAAGTACCAGCAAAGTAGGGGAGAAAAACTCCAGAGAAGTTCCAGAGACAGGAAGTCTAGTCCTGCCAAGAATGTAATAAGGGTTAATGGAGAGGCAGTTTCTGTAAGCAACACCAGAATGTTTCCTTCCTGCCTTCCTTACAGGATTAGCCCAGTAATTTCTTCTAACAACTGGTTCTCTGAACTGCTTAGAATGTTAATAACCAGTTCTAGTGAATAGGTGTGAACCAGTAGAATCCCACCCCTGGCCCTCCCCCTCTTTTTGAGGGTGGGCTGTTCAGTTTGGACATAGATGACCTCTTTGACCCCCTCTTGCAAACCCGTGGTCCTCTCTGTCCAAAATGTTGACTTTGTTCTTGAAATGCAGATGGACTGCTGAATCTTGTCCTGATGGGTTTGTTCTCCTATGTTGCGCCATGCGTTTCTGAAGTGGTGGTTTTGTTTCCCCAAAGGTACGGATCTTGCACATGGCTCACCACATTGTACTGCATGTAACCACGTTGCTCAGTTTTGTGCCTGGGTGCTTTATCCTTTGGGTGGACAAATTAATCTTCCACGCTCTGAGACCCCCTGGGGTGACCTAGAGATAGTGGTGGGATTCTAAAAATTTTTACTACCGGTTCTGTGGGCATGGCTTGGTGGGCCTGGCAAGGGAAGGATATACTGCAAAATCCCCCTTCCCTCCCCACCCTCTTAACCTGCTTTCCAGCTCTGTTCTCCTGTGTAGGGCAACCAAAGAAGACCCAGCCGATCAGCTGGGACTCGATGGGAGGCAGAGAAGAGATGGGGTTGGTGGGGCCAGTCACAGGTGGGATTGGCTGGTTCTCCGGACTACTCAAAATTTCTGCTACCGGTTCTCCAGAACTGGTCCGAACTGGCTGAATACCCACCTCTGGAGAGGAGGGAAGGAGGCAGGAAAGGATTGTAGGGGGAGAGAGGAGAGAAGGAAGGAAGGAAGGAAGGAAGGAAGGAAGGAAGGAAGGAAGGAAGGAAGGAAGGAAGGAAGGAAGGAAGGAAGGCTTGGTGAGCGTGGCTTGGTGGCCGTGGCAGGGGAAGGATATACTGCAAAATCCCCCTTCCCTCTGCATCCCACTAACCTGCTTTCCAGCTCCGTTCTCCTGTGCAGGGCAACCAAAGAAGACCCAGCCGATCAGCTGGGACTCAATGGGAGGCAGAGAAGAGATGGGGTTGGCGGGGCCAGTCAGAGGTGGGTGGGATTGGCCGGTTCTCGGAATCACTCAAAATTTCCGCTACCGGTTCTCCTGAACCAGTCCGAACCAGCTGAACCTCTGACACCAAGTCCCAAAATTGGTGTCTCTTCCTTGGTCTGAGCTTCAGGCCCTTCCCCAGCAGGACAAGGCAGATGCAGAAGTTGCCATCTTAACTCAATCCCTCGCAGAGACCACGCAGCCGAGATAAAAAATAATTGGAGGATAAAATCAGAACCCTCTCTTTAAAGCCAGGATAGTCTCCAGCACCAACAAAAAATCTCTTCCTCTCATTAAAGACTGTTTTTTTAACCTCTTGCCTCCTTATTTGTTTTTACACCCATTATGCCTTCCCCTCCGCCGATGGTCCGTTCTCCCCCTCCCCTTCTCAGTCATCAGAGTAGGTAAAGCTGGGTGGGCTGCATAAAACTCCCTTGCCGTGGGAGGCAAATAGGGATTTCTCTCTTAAATTAATAACCCTCTTTCCCTCTCCCCTTCCCTTTCTCCCCTCCCCTCTCTCTCTCTTTTTTTTCCCCCATGCAGGCAAAAGATCATGCAAAAATGGGAATAAGGGAGGTGAAAATTCGCTTGAAGCAAAAGGTACTTGAAATATGTATTTAGGGTTGGGGGCCGGGGGGGGGGGGACCCAAAGAAAGAAAAACAGAAGAAATGCTCCGCTGGGAGAGAGAGAGAAATAAAAAAAGAAAACGGAAAGGAAAGGGAAAAAAGGCATTACGTGATCAATAGAGAGCTGTTTGGTGCTGTGTTGTTAACACACTTCAAAATGCATTACCAGCTGTCCCGGATTTTTTCTTTTTTTTTCCTTTCCCCCACTGTTATAAATATTCAGACAAAAAGCAAAATACATTAAGGTCTGACGTGGAATGGTTGTTCCTTCGCTCCCCCAAATGGGACGCAGCCAAGAGAATGGCGGCTGCCCACTTCGGGTGCCATCTTCCCCACTTCCTCCCCTGGGAGCAACCCTAACGTGTGTGTGTGTGGGTGGGTGGGTGGGTGGGTGGGTTGCCGTGTGTGGGTTGGCACCCGAGCCAAGAGAAGCACGCGGCTCTCGGGCTTCCTCCCCATGTGCCCGTTCTTTGCGCTTTTCTGGCGCACGTTGATCTGACAGCCCGAATTACCGTGTGTGTGTGTGTGTGTGTGTGTGACCTTGCACTTGAGAGAGATTTGTTCCCACCTGAAAATAAGGGGTCGGCCGGAACAAGATAATGTCTTCGTCACGTTGGCTCCGTTTGGATGAGATGAACATAGTTGGAAGGGACCTTGTAGGTCATCTAGTTCTAGACCAGTGATAGCTAACCTTTTCAGCTTGGTGTGTC